TCCCTGTTGTTACTTGTGTAGTCAAACCTCCTACAACTGGAAAGACTGTTTCAATGTGCCAGCAGCAGGGAGTGGTTCCACGAGGCCAAGATACTCTCAGAGAGAAAGGACAGAGTTGACAAAAAGATAGAATGACAGGAAATCTTTGCGGCTTCTTTGGTGAGTTTATAAAAGGCAGCTTTAGATTAGAAGCTGAAAATCACTCCTGATAAGGTGAGGTGTGTGTGTGTGTGTGTGTGTGTGTGTGTGTGTGTGTGTGTGTGTGTGTGTGTGTGTGTGTGTGTGCGTGTGTGCAGCTGAGTTTGAGTCTTGATATTACTTTTTCTATCAGACAGACATATACATATAGAATTCTCTGCTGAGTGTGTGTGTGTGTGTGTGCGAGCAGAGGGGTGTTGACGGGATTCTTGCAGGAGGGCGCTGGGAAAGCTTCACAGTTTCAAAGACTTCAAGTACTTTAAAAATTGAATTACAACGTTCAACTGTTCTGTTATCTAAACTTTTCTTGGCTTCTTGTGGTTTTCAGCCGTCATCCCACTCATCTTATTTACATTACTTTACATTTGGCAGCAGTAGAAGAAGTATTCACATCCTTTTCTTGACTTAATATAGCAATAAAGCTAAGGGAAGCTATTCTATTACAAGAAGAAGTCAAAGTTTACCTTTTGAACTTAAAGTGCACATCTTTATCTGAAAAATGTATTTTAAGTATTAAAAGTAAAAGTACTTGTGGTACTGAATTGTTACATATATAACTTTATATTACTGGATAATTACTCATGCATTCATGTGTAAACAGCAGTTTATTGCAGTAGCTGGTTAGGTGGACCTAATTCAAAGTACTTTAGTGTACTTTCTACTCCATTATATGTATTTTACAAGTAGTTACCTGGCAGCTTAATATTATTAAAGATTAAACTACTATTAAACTATTTTCCTTTTACAAAGGAGTGGAGTAGAAGTATAAAGTAAAGCGGTTACTGTAGATAACAGATAGAAAAGTTGGCTCAGTTAATGTAAACATGTAGTAGTATACAGATATGTTTTATATTATATATTTATTTATTTATGACATATGCTTTAATTTGGGTTGAGTATTTCCTAAAGTATTTAAGTATTTAAAGTTTGTCAGTCAGAAAAAAACAAGGATTTTGTGTTGAAAAATTAAATTTTGTTCAGTCATCTAAGCTTGGTGTAGAGATTTGAAAGAATTTATTTTTGTTTAATTTAAAGTCATTACTGTATCTGTCCAGGTGCTGAGGCCTCTGTGGACTCTGTCTCCCTCTGCTGGTCAAATAAATTAGCCAATAAAAAATAGGCTCAGATCAGGTACACACCATCAGATGAGGCCAGTTTTAATAAATCATGCTACTGTATACTGCATGTCCGAATGCCTGGACTCATTTCCCCTTGTTGACCATGTGAACAGACTGAACCCGTAAGCCATGGAGAACGACGTTGTTATCCTCTCTATGTACTGTCTGTTTCTTTGTGACACTCTTCTTTTATTCCATAACATTCCTATAGACGGTCAGAAGTCTCGACATCATCAGTCATCAGTTAATGCTAATAACACTTCCATATCTCATCATCAAAATCACATCCAGCAGAAGATATGAGGCAGACACTTTGTTACCGAATGCTTTTATGTTCAATTCCAACTAAAATGAACACAAACACAACGATGATCAGCAAAGCATAATATCAACTCCAAGCACCCCACCCATAGACCCACACAGACACAATAACAATGGAGGAAAAAACCTCCAGAACTGATTATATATGGAGCTGCTGGATGGCTTGGACTGCTGGATTGGACGTAGGTCGTGACAGATAACAAACCTTGACATATACAAAAGTCAGATTTTCATTGCCTCAGCCGCTGAGAGCCTCATATTTACATTTTCCTCTTTAGCCCGTTGATGACTCCATATAAATAACATGAAGGAAGGTCAGTCTCCACTGTCTTACGGTCAACGTGTGTGTGTGGGGGCTTCCAACGTGTTACAATCATTTTCCAAGCAGCTGTTTAGCCTGCAAGCACTATAGGTTTCTGACGTTTAGGGATCTTGAGTGAAGAGATGTCATTTAGTAACAAGGTACGGTCGCAGGTCGTTGTACATGTTTTAATCTCTGTTGTATTTGGTTTCATTTATTTTTGCATTTGTGGACAGAGCCCCACGAAAACAGGTGGAAATCAGGTGCAGTTGCTGTCATGAGTGTCATCATCCAAAATTAGACCCAGTTGGAAGTACAATGAAAATAAATAGTGGGTTATATATATATTATATAGAGGAATTGATTTTCCCTAATTCTGTATTCCTATATCAAATTTTTCTTTAATCAATATCCTCATTAGACTCTCCCAGATAATGTGACGATCCTATAAGTTTATGTTGTGACCACGAGTTCTAATTATTCCAGCTTTGTTTGTGGGAAATGGTGCTTTGAAGAACCACTTGCCAAACAGCCCCATATTTAAAAGATACAGCATCTCCCTGTTCTCTATGATAGCTGGCTTTTCACTCCTTCCAGTGTGGCCGTTCACACCAGGTATGAACACATCACACATCGGACGTTTTCCAACGATGTGTCGTACAATCTGCGTCTTTGTCTTATTTGACAATATCTGTGTGTGTGGGTGAAAACCTGCAGAAAGATCCAACAGAATCAAATGGTGTGATTACCAGAGAGAGCACGATGGGCCTTGTATCTCCTGCTGTTCTTCACAGCCAAGGACCCAAGGATCCAATGGAAAGAGAATGAAGGTGAGAAGAGTAAAATGAATGATCAATCAGAGATCATTCAAATTTTCTCTACATCTTTTCCTCTTGTAAGTAAGTTGTGGATACTGAGAGCCACACACAGTCAGGGATAATAACTAAGAGAAACACATGCATGGGCACGTTAGAGTTTTAAATATTACTCAAGTTATTGACAACTCCTGAACTGACGTCACTGAGTGATCCACTCCCTGGCTGTCATCCACACTCATAATCTGCAGTTATCATAAAATGATAGGAGCTATGACAAAGACGTGTTAATTACTCTGACAACATCTCGACTTTGGAACTATTGACATTAGAAGTTATGATGATCGTTTATACAGGCTGAGTGAAATAAACTGTCCAAGCAGTTCAGACTGTGAAGAAAAATTAGAAAGACTTCCCCTTTTCTCCAGAAGAAACCTGATATCATTTTTCACTTGCTTACATACAGAAACTGGAGTTGTAAGTTGTAATGTCAGTGTGATTCCAATGTTGGGCTGTGGTTTTATCAGATATACGTTTTTTACTGATTTCTTATAGACTACACCCTGTTGTTAAGGCGTGGCCGCGTATATCCAATTGTTTTATTAATGTATTAGTTCATCCAGCTGAGATCATTTTCTTTAAGAGTCACTACAGCTGTTTGCTGGTCAACCTCTGATATGATCGACATGATGAAGTGACTGTGATGCAACACACGTGGATTTAGCATTAGGTTTTTCTTTTAAAGATCAACTTATTTAAGCTTATGTTACTGTAATTAATATTTCCACATTAAAACATGAATATCGGGGGCTAAAAATTTGATATAGGAATACAGAATTAGGGAAAATCAATTCCTCTATATAATATATATATAACCCACTATTTATTTTCATTGTACTTCCAACTGGGTCTAATTTTGGATGATGACACTCATGACAGCAACTACACCTGATTTCCACCTGTTTCCTTGGCCTCTGTCCACACATGCAAAAATAAATGAAACCAAATACAACAGAGATTAAAACATGTACAACGACCTGCGACCGTACCTTGTTACTAAATGACATCTCTTCACTTAAGATCCCTAAACGTCAGAAACCTATAGTGCTTGCAGGCTAAACAGCTGCTTGGAAAATGATTGTAACACGTTGGAAGCCCCCACACACACGTTGACCGTAAGACAGTGGAGACTGACCTTCCTTCATGTTATTTATATGGAGTCATCAACGGGCTAAAGAGGAAAATGTAAATATGAGGCTCTCAGCGGCTGAGGCAATGAAAATCTGACTTTTGTATATGTCAAGGTTTGTTATCTGTCACGACCTACGTCCAATCCAGCACTCCAAGCCATCCAGCAGCTCCATATATAATCAGTTCTGGAGGTTTTTTCCTCCATTGTTATTGTGTCTGTGTGGGTCTATGGGTGGGGTGCTTGGAGTTGATATTATGCTTTGCTGATCATCGTTGTGTTTGTGTTCATTTTAGTTGGAATTGAACATAAAAGCATTTGGTAACAAAAATAACAACATGTACAACACAGTCCTTGACAACAAGGTACTGACCCAATCTGGTCTTTGCTCAGAGGTGACACATCAGCCTGGAGCTGGTTTGTTGCTTTCTGAGTCCAGCTGAGATAACACAGAGGAGTGCACTGTCCCTGTGTTTTGTCATGTTTCTTCAAACAACAACAAACTCTCATGTCGTAAAGACGAGGAGTTCGTGCCATCGTAAAGGAAAAGGATCAGAAATAAAATGTCATAAACATTTGCTCCGTGCCACCGCACCTGTACGTATGGACGATAACTTTAATGCAAACATGACGAATCTCCACTGCTACCGAACACAGCACAGAGAAAAACAAGAATACAGCCTATATGTTCACCAAAGAAGGATGAAAAGATAAAGAAAAATAATGAGGAGGAAGAAGGAAAGAGAGGGACTGAAAGCTGTAGTGGAGAGATAGTTACAGTCACAACATCTGTAATGAGTCAAAGGAGGGAGGGACTAAAAGACAAACTGATTTCCAACAAAATTTGACATGTAGGAGGCAATTCAGAGGCCCACTGATAAGGGTGAAACTGTATGTGTGTTTGCATGCGTTCGTACGTGTGTGTGTGTGTGTGTGTGTGTGTGTGTGTGTGTGTGTGAGAGAGGGCTGGACTTTGTTCACAGCTGTTTCTACCATATGAGTTTATCATAGGCAGCAAAGAGAGACTGACTTTACACTGGAGCGGTTCAGCTGCTGTATGAAGTCATTCATAAACACCACTGAAGAAAACACTTATTTTTTTCTTATATATATTTTTAAAAGTAAAAGGTCTGCAGAGGTTTTTTACTTCTGAGCCGCAGCCATGATCAGCCGAAACTTCAAGAACGTGTTGGTGGTCTCTGTGGGGTTTCTGTCTCTGTTCACGGCTTACGGAGGCCTGCAGAGTTTACAGGTAGGTGGAAGAGCTACATTTATTATTATAAAATTATAAATGTATTATTTATTGTTATTGTTCAACTGAAAACTGTAAAAAAAGTGTTATTGTCATGGGGAATTAAGGGATTAATTCATGGGTCACTTCATGAAGGGGCAACTGATTAAGGGATTTTTTAAAATTCCTTTTGTGCGTGTTTACAGGGTAAATAATAGTTTGTTACTGGGTTGTGTTTTGGAAAAGTATTTTTCTTTAATTGTACCTTTAAAAAGAAAAATAATGGGTTTCAGAATTATTTTAACATTAGTTTCCTGTCTTTATAGTTTCATTATTTTAGAACATTTATTTTAGCCTGTAAATGTCCATAATTCTTGATTAAATGAAGCAGGGATTAGTATCATGGTGTTTTAAGGGGAAATTAAGGCCCCACACGGGCTGATGATATGTTGTAGCTGTATTTGCCCTTTAACACACATTCTTCAGTTTCTTGTTTACATTGTCTCAAGGACGTCAAAATCATTTAGTGATGATGGGTTTGTTGCTTTAATTGTTAAAACAATTTTAATGTAACTTAAAAAATCAAAAAAAGGATATTGGGATGGTATTAATGTCGCTGTGTGGTCTTTCTATCATTTCATTATACACTGTTGCTCATAAAGTTGGAATAACATATTTTTTTACCTCTTTCCATGAAATGATTGTTACAATGTGATTTATTCTTGACAGATAAAATATATATCTTCTCAAAACTTTAGTCAATCTCTTCCAAACTGATTACTGATGCATTTAAATAGGAATAAACAGAGGATTGTGTCTGAAAACAAAATTATTCCAACTTTGTGGGCAACCATGTATTAGAAAATTTTTAATGTTTTAATCAAACTATGATAAATTAGGATGCCATACCCTGAAAAAGTGGGAGTTAGTATCGTGGGAGTTTTAAGGGACTTATTCATGGAGGGAAAACGTATTGAGAGATGCATTTTGTGCATGATTTCCGAGGTGGTTTGCATTTTCTTGTATTTAAAATTTTATTTATCATATTATTTATCAGTGGCATACTTCTGCTGCTACTAATGACAATAAGAAATGAAATAAGTATAGATAAGAAATATCATGGATAAATTCCATTTCCAATAATAAAAATGATAAATTTCGAATTTAGATACCTAAATGACACAAGTGTAGGTAGCCCATGTCATTTTTCAGCATATAAAAATGTTAAAATTAAGGGTAAAATATGCAAATGAGTTATCATTATAAACAGCTGTCTGAGACAGATGTGATCGACATTAGAACTTTGTGAAAAGAAGTATGGGTATCAGGACATTGATCATTCTGCCCCCAATGTTATCTGACACACCAGATCAAAGCAGAAGTGCATGTGTTTAACCAGTCTCACGTAAGACTGAAACACATTCCTGTTATGACAAAGTAATAAACACATATAATCCTGATGCTTTGACACTGTTTCAAAGAACAAACTACTTTCAAATTCAAACATGAAAGATGACACAGTGTGTCTGTATGAAACTTTCAACCAGTTAATTGAGAATTGACTCACTCCTCCACATTTAAACCTTGAGCTCTGCAGAATTCAAGCTCAAAAATGTTGGACATTTGGTGCTTTCACAGAATTCACTTTTATGTGTAGAGTTTTCAAACTGAAATGAATAGCATGTAAGTAAGAGGACGAAGAAGTTGCAAGCTACTTAACTAACATTGTCCCCTAATGGAGTCCTGTCTCTACTGTGTGTGTGCAGAGCAGTCTGAATGCGGAGCAGGGGATGGGCGTGGCGTCTCTGAGCGTCATCTACGCCTCCATCATCATCTCCTCCATGTTCCTGCCTCCCATCATGATCAAAAATCTGGGCTGTAAATGGACCATTGTTGCTGGCATGGCCTGCTACGTCTCCTACTCCGTTGGAAACCTCTACCCAGGATGGTAAATCATCAGTAGACTGTCAGGGTCTCAAGATGAAGACCACAACAAGTCATTATGAAATAAATATAATTGAAATAAATATATTTATAATAGATGTGAAAGGTGGGGGCTTGTCAGTACAGAGTGGAAGTTTCGGTGTCAGCCACTGCCAGTTACAAACTAACAAACAACATAAATAATTGACTAAGCTTACTGTTCTGACTGAGTCTCTCCGATGTTTCCGCTAACTCTAACCATTTTGATACACACTGCTCTTTCACCAGTTCACGTAGCGTGAGCAGTGGTGGTGGGCGGGGCACTGGGCTTAATCCCAGATTACTTCACTTTTTATGTGGGAAACCCGTATTAAACAAAATATTAAATCATAGAGTATTTTTACATAGTTTAAAACATGTCTGGAGAGGAACTTGACTTCACCCAAAGGTCAAATCAGAGTGGCACTTGGGGTGAGGTTTTTGTGTATTTTGGCATTGCAGTGTCCCATTATGGCACTTAACATTTTTTCACTTCACCTAACCGTGCAGATGGCTTTGGTTTTATTTGCTCTATTTTTCTGGGATTTTCTCCAGTACAACGAAGGTGACGGCGACATTTAATGAAATCAACAGCATGATTTCCTTCAAGAAATTGTATCCGTTTTTGTGGATAATCCATATAGGAGTAGTTGTCATTTGTGCTACTACAGGTGCATCTCAAGAAATTAGAATATCATGGAAAAGTTCATTTATTTCAGTAATTCAATTCAAAAAGTGAAACTCGTATATTATATAGATTCATTACACACAGAGTGAAATATTTCAAACCTTTATTTCTTTTAATTTTGATGATTATGGCTTACAGCTAATGAAAACCGTAAAATTTAGTGTCTCGGAAAATTTGAATATTGTGAAAAAGTTCAATATTGTAGACTCACGGTGTCACAGTCTAATCAGCTAATTAAATCAAAACCCCTGCAAAGGTTTCCTGAGCCTTTAAATGGTCTCTCAGTCCGGTTCAGTAGGCTTCACAATCATGGGGAAGGCTGCTGACTTGACGGTTGTCCAGGAGACAGTCATCGACACCCTCCACAAGGAGGGTAAGCCACAAAAGGTCATTGCTAAAGAAGCTGGCTGTTCACAGAGTGCTGTATCCAAGCATATTCATAGAAAGTTGAGTGGAAGGAAAAAGTGTGGTAGAAAAAGGTGCACAAGCAACAGGGATAACCGCAGCCTTGAGGATTGTGAAGTAAAGGCCATTCAAGAATTTGGTGGAGATTCACAAGGAGTGGACTGAGGCTGGAGTCGGTGCATCAAGAGCCGACGTCAGAAGCGTCTTACCTGGGCTAAAGAGAAAAAGGACTGGACTGTTGCTCAGTGCGCCAAAGTCCTCTTTTCAGATGAAAGTAAATTTTGCATTTCATTTGGAAATCAAGGTCCGAGAGTCTGGAGGAAGAATGGAGTGGGACAGAATCCAAGTTGCTTGAAGTCCAGTGTGAAGTTTCCACATCAGTGATGATTTGGGGAGCCATGTCATCTGCTGGTGTTGGTCCACTGTGTTTTATCAAGTCCAAAGTCAACGCAGCCGTCTACCAGGAAATTTTTAGAACATTTCATGTTTCCTTCTGCTGACCAGCTTTATGGAGATGCTGATTTCATTTTCCAGCAGGACTTGGCACCTGCCCACACTGCCAACAGTACCAATACCTGGTTTAATGACCATGGTAACACTGTGCTTAATTGGCCAGCCATCTCACCTGACCTGATTGTCAAGAGGAAGATGAGAGACACCAGACTCAACAATGCAGACGAGCTGAAGGCCGCTATCCAAGACACCTGGGCTTCCATAACACCTCAGCAGTGCCACAGGCTGATCGCCTCCATGCCACGCCGCATTGATGCAGTAATTCATGCAAAAGGAGCCCCGACCAAGCACTGAGTGCATATACATGAACATACTTTTCAGTTGGCCAACATTTCTGTATTAAAAATCCTTTTTTTATTGGTCTTATGTAATATTCTAATTTTCGGAGATACTGAATTTTGGGTTTTCATGAGCTGTAAGCCATAATCATCAAAATTAAAAGAAATTAAGGCTTGAAATATTTCACTCTGTGTGTCATGAATCTATATAATATATGAGCTTCACTTTTTGAATTGAATTACTGAAATAAATTAACTTTCCCATGATATTCTAATTTATTGAGATGCACCTGTATATAAAACTCTTGATATTGGGTTCTGTGGTTTTTCCAGAGCAATGGCAACAGTTTCTGCAAAGAGATGTCGGCGTCAGATTCTTTAAATGTTAGTATAATCAGCCAAATGTACTTTCCCTGCATTGATGTACCATGTGGCAGGAACATCTTAGTGACATACTAAAGGAGCATGGTTAGAATATCAAAGTAGTGTTAGAAAAACAGCAACTAAATAGGTTTTTAAAAACTCAAAACCTCTCATGACTGACACTGTCGCCATCCATCCAGAAACCACTGATTTGATTATTTGCTGTTCAAAATAAAGTTGCATAGGTAAAATTGGGCTTTTCATGAATAAATTTTGCTTTGATCTCTCCTCCAGGTACACCCTCATCCCCACCTCAGCGATCCTGGGTTTGGGTGGCTCTCCGCTGTGGTCGGCTAAATGCACCTACCTGACCATCTCAGGTAACGTGCAGGCGGCCAAGGAGGGCAAAAAGGGCTCCGATGTCATCAACCACTACTTCGGTATCTTCTTCTTCATCTTTCAATCATCGGCGGTGTGGGGAAACCTCATGTCGTCGCTCATCTTCGGACAGGACACCAACGTAGGTAGGAAGACGGCTGAAAGTGAACTATGTGCATATGTTAGTGGCAGTGAGGCAAAGTGATTAACACGTACACTGTGAAGGAAAATGTATCATTTGAGCAGGCTGTCGTAAAATGGTGTGTAAAAGGAACTAGTACTGAATAGCTGGTTTAGTTTGCTCTTTAAATGATCTCAGAATTCAGTTAGTTAACAGAAGATAACGTCAGCCGACACGTTGAATCAAGAGGCACAGTAATGATCAGACTTGCTTTTTGATTACATATTGGGCAAGTTTCATGAAGATATTTTAGACTGGTCTGTAGTGTTTTAGTTTAATGCAGTTTCACAAAAAGAAAGACTGACTGATTTCAAGCTCTAAAACGTTGCAATAACAGAAAAGAGAAAAAACACGGCTCAAAATCGTCATTCTCTAACGAAGTTGTGGAGCGAGCAGAAAAGAAAGAGTTCTTGGAGACCACAGTAATCTGTTGGAAATATACAGCAGTGAAGACATCGCAAGTTGCTTTTGTTTGTCCAAGGAAACTATCTAGAGTCTGATGAGCTGGAAGAAGAAGAAGCCACTGAGCTGAGATTTTAGCTCCTGGAGGTTTTTCTGTATTTTTATTCTCTTTGCTGCATTAATAATTAATTAATTAATTTAGCAGAGTTTCTTAAGGTAGCACAGTGGATGAATTTGAAGAATTAGTTTGAGCTATGAAAGTCTTGGAGTGCGGTCCGTCTGCGTGAAACTGACCCCTTGAACCAGGGGAAGCTTTCTTAACAGTCTCATGATACATTAACCTGTGATTGTCTCTGCATCCGCTCTCTCTACTGTCCACTATCATAAGGGCATAAAAGCATAAAATACTCCCAGAAATAAAAAAAAGGTGCAGTCATAAGTCTTCCTTTCAATGAAAGCGCCCTGAATTCAAGGATCTAACATCATGGTAATGAGAGTGATTATTCACTAGAAACAGTCTGTGTGAAGCCTGGTAGTGTGAAGATACACAAGCCGTACATCACTGCTCCTGTTGGCCGACTGAGCACAACCACACGGTCAAGTTGAACAAAGCTGAACTCTTTTGTTCCACAGGCGACGGCCCTTTGGTTCACACCTGACCTAACAGGAAATGCATCACACTGACAACACAGTGATACCAAACCTCATTTCTTAAATGTGGCATTCACCAAGTGAGACTGTTAACCCTTTCGCTTCGTTTCTTTTCAAATACAGGTGCGAAGGTACACAAACAAACATATTGGTATGCGTTTGTTGCATTCACTCCATTGCCGAAGTTACACGAGTGGGAATGTCAGATTTTTCTGAAAGCTCTGACACGGCACGTATATATTCATATGGAAGTGCCAAAGAACAAAACAAATATAGATGCCTTGCATCAGCCAAAGGCCACTGTTCAATTAAATTAAACCCAAATTTAATGCATATGGTGATATCTTGTCATGGCAGAGTAATCATACAACTGTCTGGATGACATGAAAGCTTTCCCATCTCTGTCATCCATTGTATATGACGTGAACACAACTTTAGACTCGGTCAACGGCTCAGCCTCAGTTCCCGTCTTAGATCCTGCGTGTTGTTGATACTGCTGCACAGAGCCATCAGTGGGCAAAGTCTAACCAGGGACTTACAGCTTTTTTTTTTTTATGGGTTGAGTTCAGAGGAGAATCAGAAAGAGTGTGTTAACAGTGGATGATGTTGCCAACTATGCAATATATTATTTTATTGCTGTTAAAGCTTATCAGCTAAAAAGATTGCTGGGAAAGATGTAGTAAGTATGACACAGCTATTTATTCCATTTTTATTTCCTTTCTGGTTGTTTATGTGAAAGCCTGAATTATGCTGGTTTAATTAGACTTCTTCATTTTCATTAATAACAGTATTTAGCACAGTGCGAAGGGACATTTTCTGCTTCAAAGGCAATAAATACAATTCTTTTCTCCAGAGGCCACATATATAGAGACGCAAGACATTGACATTACAACTAACTTGGCAATAGCCCCTTTCTTCCGTAGTGAAAGGGTGTTTTTATCAAAATTAAAATGTATTATTTTTGTATTTTTTCTGACAGCTATCATCCCGGATGAGCAGCTGCAGACCTGTGGAGCAGCTGATTGTGGCCTTAACGTCAGCGTCAACGGCACCACCACCAGACCGGCACAGAAACTGGTGTGGACGCTCGTCGGATGCTACATTGGTCAGCAGCTACTTTGCATCACAATTAAGTGTCAAACACTAAATTAGGTTGCTCTTCCATATTGAGTCAACAGTGCAGATATCAGCAACTTAGCTCAACTTATCATGGGTTTCACTTGTTAAAGGCCAGAATGTAGATAAGAGTTTGATTTAATTCTTCAGTTACTTTTAATCCAGTAAAATTTGCAAAATATGCATGTAAACGTCTCTCACTGCTAAAACGTACATCTGGCGTAGATATGCACACGGATTGAAGCTAAAAGGCAGAGTTGTAACCGTTAATTCCTATATACATATGTACATGTGTTAACATTCAGAAAAACGAGGCACTTTCCAATTAAATAATTGGATAAACTTAAATTAATATAAACGAACATAAATGACACAAATGCAGAGATACACAAAGGCAGATTGGTAAATGTAATTTAATAAGCACAAAAAAAAGTCTACAACTTACAGCAGGCAGAGGCACTGGGGGGAAAGACTTGGGAAACATGAACAGGAATCGGGCAGGAACGAAAAACAGGAGGAAGACGAGGGAAACAAAACCAGGAACGTACAGAGACGATCTGACGAAGAGAGAGAGAGGAACACAGGGAATAAATACACACAAGAGGAGCAGGTAACGAGACACAGGTGCAACTAATTGGGGCGGGACAGACAATCACAAAAAAAGCGGGAAATATATTGGCACAGGAAGTAAAATCAACAGACACCTAGGGAAAATGGTTTCAAAATAAAACAGAAAATGAGAAGGTGCAGGTTATGGCGAAATAGGAGGAGTTTAAATTACACTGTCTACACCGTTAGTCAAACTGGAAAAATAATAACTCCAATACTGCAGAGACTCTTCATTTAACTTTATTTCATTAAACCTTTTAATATAACATAAAATAGATTTTTATCACATCCCATGTTGGTTAAAGAGCCAGTTTTATAGTTTTGCATTTTGGATTTCTCCAGAACTTACCATCCATTTTTATTACAGATGGTACTAAAAGACATTTTGGCCTTTTGCCCGCATTCAAAAGTTGTTTAGCAGAAATCCAGATTACACCTCAGGTATTTCTACTGAAAACACTGATTAATACGGACTCATGTCAATTTCAGACACTCAAGACAAAGACCAAACCAAACCACTGAAAAACTACAGAAAAAACCTAACAAAAAAAATGTAACAGCTGTACTACAGAACAGTCATACATAGTACATTTGCACAAATAAATTTAATTAATATTTTAAAAAAAACTAAAGCATCTTAACCCATTTTAAACGAACTGATTTTTTTGTTTAATAAAAAACAGAAAGTGGTGGCAAAACCGAGAAAATAAATCCCAGCATTAAAGAAATACTTGAGTTGTTGTAACACATCCTCAGATCAGCTGCACACCGGCTGTACCAGTGTATCAGACTTTTGCAGCTGTCTATAGAGTCAGTGTTTTTGTGTTCCTTCGCGTGGCAGGTGTGGGTCTGCTGGCCATGCTCATCATCGCAGTGTTTCTGGACAACATCGACCAGGAGCAGGCCAGTGAGTTTCGTGGGAACCGGGAGCCGTTCTGCCACACCTTCCTGGCTACGTTCAGACTGCTGAAGGACTGGAGGCTGCTGACCCTCATCCCTCTCACCATGTACAGCGGCTTTGAACAGAGCTTCCTCTCTGGGGAGTACACCAAGGTGAGCAGGTCTCGACGCTTGAGAAAATTCTCCCATATACCATAAATAACTGTTGAAGCTGCACTGAAAAAGGTTTATGAAAGGTATTTCAGAGATTTTATGACGTTTTGTTGAAAAATATGAGTGTTTGCAACATACAGCTGGACAACAGAGATTAGTTTATGCTTCAAGAGGTTTTAAAATTTCGAATAGACATTTTGATACGTTTCTTTGCTGTAAAAACAGTTTTCACTCTGTTTCGGTCTAAATATCGAGGTCTTTAGCGCTACATGATCCACTTTGTGATTTATTTGCTAAAAAAGAATCTATGCTGTGTTTCCTTACAGAACTATGTGACGTGTGCTCTGGGGATCCACTATGTTGGCTTTGTGATGATGTGCTTTGGAGCCTCCAATTCTCTGTGCTCGTTCCTCTTTGGGAGACTCGCTCGCTACACTGGCAGAGCTGCACTCTTCCTCCTGGGTAAAACCTCTCTACTGAATGAGAGATGACTTCTCAATAAAAACTAATGCTCACTCTCTTTTAAAGATTTAGTTTGCTTACCATAAAGCTGGGATATAACGATGCACGAACTGCTGATATTTGTTTGATTGCGGTATCTGTCCATTTTCAGCTGCAGTGGCCAACTTTTCCTGCATCATTGCCCTCTTGTTCTGGAGGCCTCATCCTGACCAGCTGGCTGTCTTCTTTGTGTTTCCTGCTCTGTGGGGCATGGCAGACGCTATCTGGCAAACTCAGACCAATGGTAAGAACCTCCCATCAGCCCTCTGGTGTACAGGGTGGAGTTTCTTTGCCCTCCGGATATCACTGTAAATCCTCACTGTGGTTTGTCTGATAGTTGTTTGTCTTCATGCGTCGTCCTCATGATAACACACACGCGGTGTGTGTCAAGGTAATTGTTGTTAACACAAACTATCGAAATAATGAAAACTAGATGTGAAAAACATTTTGTTTACCTTCTTAAAATTAAAAATGGGGCTAACTGAACTGAAGTAACTGAAAGTGTATTGAATATTTACAAAACTAACTAAAATTACACAGAAAATGTCCTTAGTTTTTGTCTTTGTCAATTCATTTCATAAATGAACTACTACTACTAGTATTTTGGGCAGATAAGAAAACTATCTTCCAATCGCTGACAATGAAAGTCAGGGGGGAGCTCCAGTCCCATTTGAGATTACTTTGAATACGACTGTGTCACAGATGAGAGCAAGTGCCTTGTAGCTGATAAAACAAATACTCTCTAGAGCCACTCTCAAGTTAACTCCTGGGATTCCATCTAAGGTATCATGAGTACTCATATTCCCTAGAGGAGGAATGCTTCGTTATCCATTCAGCTTCGCCCCAGGACCACCGTATTGTCAAAATTTCAAAAAGTCGATAAGAAATATCAAATTCTAATCTGCAGATTGCGTTGAAATAATAATATAATTAATAACACATAATTATTAGCATTGTATTCATTATGTCCACACTGTGGTATTGTTGGATCAAGAACAAGCCTTTTTTTGCTTCTGTCTTTTCAAGGGTTGCCTGAACCAAACTGAACAAGTGCTTCTTTTATTTCCTTATAAAATCGGGATTATAAAATAATGTAATAATCACACTGCTGGAGTTTCTAACACCTGACCTTTATTCCTGCCTTTTGTCTTGCAGCTCTTTACGGCATCCTCTTCCCCCAGGACAAAGAGGCAGCATTCGCCAACTACCGTATGTGGGAGTCTCTCGGTTTCGTTATTGCCTTCGGCTACAGCACCTTCTTATGTCTGGAGTATAAACTGTACATCGTGCTGGCTGTTCTGGTGCTGACCGCCATCACCTACCCCATAGTGGAGTACCACGAGTACAAGAATCCCACACCACCTGCTAATGAGGGGACCTACCTAAACCACAAGGAAACGATTCAAAGAGATGAGAACAAGATCATTTGCCAAACACGAATATAGACACTCTGATACTGATGCCAAATTGTTCAAATTGCCACACACTGAATAAACTCAAGAATATGAGATATGAGAAAGGGTCAATCTGAAACCTGTCCAATTGTGTTGGTCTTTACTGGCATCCAGTCAACCCTGCAAACCCTGACTTTATCTTTCACTGGCACTGCCCCAGCGTCTCTTGCGGGTTGATGTAAAATAAACTCTGATGCACTTCACTTTGGCTGGATAACTTTAGAGGAGGCTGGCGTTGACCAGATGACTCAAAAATCTTCAAAAATGAAACATGAAAATAATTAAAAGTTACAAAATTACTCTGAGGCACTTCTGTTTTGTTCAGTTGGTCTTGACTTGGCTTATAAAATTAAAAGATCGCGCATGTAGATAAAATAATGTTACTTGGAGCACGTGGCAAAGAAAGAATAAAGGAGTGCAAAAATGGCTAAGACCTGTGGCTAAAAGCTTAGAGCAAAGGGTGAATTGATCACGACTGTTTTATCCCCTGGGGACTGGCGCACGTTTCAGGGGCGTCACCCGTCTTCTCTTGTGTTTCCACTTGGAGAAGAGAGTCTTTTTCCACAGAACTTTTGAATAGTTTAATTTCAGAGTTTGCCAATAAACTCGCACATTCCTCATGACCACAAAACATTAAATGAAATAACATTTAAACCTAATGGCACTAATAATGACAGACAGGAGTAATACAAGTGTTGATTTCATATTTCATCCTTCTAACCTGGAATTAATCATGATACAAGTGGTTTACTGATCAAACAACAATATGAACATTTCCTAAAGCTAATAGTCTATAAATGTGGATTACACAGCAGTTCTTTGACTGTAATAATAATAATATGGACATGCTGGATGTCATGTAGTGTGTGTTACCTCGTGTGAAGGATGCTGACAGTATGGTCACATGAAGGATACTGTCTTAAAATCTACATGTTACATTTCGAACATTCTATAGGATAGAAGTTTGCAACTGAACTGTTACATAGGAACATCTCATGAGTTACAGAACAGCTAGATATTTAATTTTACATTCTTCCTTAGATCTGTGTCTGTGAAGAGAGTTCTGCTGGTCACTACCCAGGATTGGAATGTGGGTTGTAGTTTATGACTCTTATCTAGAGAGGGGCAGAGGAAGGGAGGTTGGTGTGTGTGGAGGCAGAGAAGATGGGTTGCATTTTTATGTGCATTTTTGTAATTTTCCATGATGCTAGAGACACAGCGTTCAGCGAAGTGTCACAGTTTTCACAATACAGCATGATCAAGGTCGTAAGCATTTTCTAACCAAGTTTGAAGTGGGCGTGGCCGTCCCAGTTGCAGTAGTACATCAACTTCAATGTCATGGAATTTTGTGTTGGCATAGGTGGCGCTGTAACTATGAATAATTTGGATTTGGATGCATTAAATAAGAAGGCATCATTTTTTTCTTCTTTAGGAGAATCTGTGTTTTTAACTTCACATAAGTCAACCATACTGAGACGGCCCTGTGCAGTGTTTCTGGTTTGCATTAGCTTGTTATTGTGCAACTTTTGAATTTCACACAAATTAAAGCTTTCAATATTATTTACAACTGCTTCATAATGATTTTCATTAGAATGTACTAAGTAAATTCCTTGCTCTGAAACTCTTTTGTCCATGCATTTATATTTTATCCACCTACCACTGGTGTGAGTGAAGACATCTAGACCAAGAAGATTTGCTGCAGCTTGAATTTCCACCTCAGTTGCCCAACTACCAACAAACTTCATGCTTGACTTGTCCAAATGACCAACAAAGAGGTTTACTCCTGTCTAATCAAACTACCAAACATCAACTCATTATTTTCCATGGATTTAGCTACAGAAAACCTAAACTTACAAAGGGAATGCTGGCTTCCACACACCACTTGTGACAGAGCTCTGAAAAAGCAGTTTCACCCGGAGGGCCGAATGAGCCAGGGTATATCATTTCTTTTTTCAAATGACACATTTAATTGACTACACACATTTTGTACAATTTTTTGAGATAACACATAGAAATGAAAACCCTTTGTTGGTATGTCTTTTACAAATTCTACATCTGAATCGACCGTCTGGTTTCTTCAACTTTCACTCAACTTTTCACTTCAACAGCAAAAATCAGCCTTTAAAGCTGAAAGAAATAACGACGTGGCATTTATCGTGATAAATATCAATATCGACTGATGTGGAAATTTTTATCGTGATAACAGTTTTGATCAGAAATGTGATTGTGTGTTCTTAAGAAAGTGTAAAACCCCCTGCAACAACAACAACAACATCATCAACATGTTTAGAAGTCCATGTTATGATACACCGCAACACACCGCCTTCCTGCATTTGCACCAAATCGATGATCACCTTGATCATGGAACACATTGAGAATTTGTTTTTTTGCTTTTAGCACCGGTAACTAGAGTTTCTGGTTCTATATTACTGCGCACTAATTAGTTTTTTCCACCCTCAACATCAATCTCTAATTGCTTCAAGGGAACTGAGCAATGTTTTAAAACAAAAGCTTTGGGTGCAGACACTTGTCTTTCTAAAATGGTAGTTGAAACATGACACCTCTGGTTGTCTGTTTTCTTTGGACAGCTTTCAGCTGTCACTTTGTACTCAGGATCAACCTTTTGCTTGTCACAGCCAACCAGACTGTCCTCCACAGTAATGCTACTGACACCATACCATTCTGCTTTTAGTGACTTTCTTAGATTTGTAATATGAAGAATGAAGTCATTAAAACATGTGCTAAACACTGCCACAGATGTACAAATAATTGATGCCAACCCAGATGCATCATGTGTGTCAAAATCAACAACCACAAAGACATTGTTGTGATGGATAATAGTGCAAACTGCACTATGAAGGTCCAACAGACACATTCCATCACTCAACAGATGTTCTTGCAGTTTTTGGTACATCACATCATTATCAAAGAAGCCAGTTTCTCTGTATTCTGGCAGCAGACCCATTTCAACTTTCCAGGTCTTGTCAAATACATTGTGCTGTTCTGTCAACTTGCACAACAACTTCTGTTTAGCATCACTTGTCTGGCGTCCCTCAACCATACAAGTAAGCATCTTGTTCCCTCCAACATGTATGGCATCAACATCTGTCTCTCGCCATGTACGTGAGGAACATGAGGAATCCAATGTTTGATTGCGGCAGCAACACTACATGCAAGTGATGCATCAACATCAGATGTCGACTGAGCAGCTCTGACATCAGCACCAGCAACAACAGAGGATTGTATTTTTTCCGAACAAATGCAAACATCAGGATTAGCAGCACGCCTACCTTTCACAGGACACAGACATTTATTAGGCAACCAACTTTCATTATGATCAATATTATCACACATGGACCAAAGTGCACAGACTTTACATGTTGATCTAAAATGATCATGTCTTTGGTATTACATGTTTTGCTTGTTTTCATTCAGTTACCTTTATTTACACATACACACTGAATTCATCTAAAATTAAATGTGTTTTTACTGCAGTATATTAATGCAGTCTAGATTATATAATGAACAACTACAAGTATTTATTTATGATATAAAACTGGGTAAGGCTGGTTTTTGGTTTAAATGAAACAGTCTTAAAAAATGGATCGTAAAATTGAGAAAATTGTCACTTTTATAGCAAAATGTCTTATTGTTGTCATTATTCTGGATGTTTTTTCTGGGTGACAAAGTTTTCCTGCTGGCTAATGTTAAATATGACTTTTTATTGCCTTTCAAACACTAGACTACATTAAGTTTAAAGTTGTGGAAAATACATGGGTCGATACACTCCCAATGGGTGTCATATAGGCTAAATGCCAACTTAGTAAAAAGCACATTTGTATTGCTTGAAATGAACTCAAAAATATCATTCTGCTACTTTCAACATCTTGTAGAAAATGAATGAAAATACATTTCTGTGAATCAGCTTTCATCATAACAATTCTCAAATGCCCTGCACATGTAGGTAGATTGATAGAAGTAATGGCTTAGTTGGCATAAATGCAGCACACTGTTACCGTGATTTGTTTGTGCAGATAATCTATAGAAATTGCAATTGCCAGTCCAATGTGGTGATAAGTCATTAGCAAGCCACTGCAGCTATACTGTTGCAAAGTAGGAAAGTGTCCTGTCCACATTTCAGTCAAAGTGAAAAGTGCTACAATAAAGCAATAGCTAAAGATTTGGCACGTTATGGCTTTTTGTCAACCGATGAGTTTTCCACAACACATGCATGCAATTGTTTAAAAAATGACAACTTAAGAAGTAAACGCTTTAATATCAGCACAGCTGTGATTCCGTCATAGGGGTGCATAAGTGTGTAACCTAGTTGCAAAACCATCCCACGCATTAAACGTTCATTATAAAAGGGGTTCTATTCAAGATTTACAGCATAAAATGTTTGTTTGAAAAAAAAAACAAAAAACATATAACAACAATCTACATAAGGTTAGCAAATGGCACGTTAGGTCGAAGTAGTTTGAGTACTGCGTCGGTGTGATGCACTACAGTTAGCATGCTAGCCGCCAATAAGTCGCCGTGCGTCACACCGAAAGAAAGTTTCACACGGTCGGGTGTTGGTGTCCTCCTCAAAGACAGAACCAAAAAAATCCCTTGAAGAAAATGCACTGTCTCGTCTTTCGCTGTAAAAACCTCTCTCGGTGAACTGTTAAAGACAATACCCACGCTCAACAACCGGCAACTGGTACGCCGTGAACACCTTCATATTGTTGCACCAATCATGTGCGCCGTACAGGAAAGTGGGCGGGTATACAGGTTGATCTAACAAGATGAAGGACATGATTTCTTGTATTGGAAAATTATTTTATACTTAAAAAAAAGATAGTGTTTAGCAGAAAAATATGACTGTAATCATTTATATGCCACCAATGTTTTAGATTGTGAAACACTTAAATTGAATCATTCAGTTAGTAACTTTTGATCATACAGTATTTACCTACTAATAAACCATATAGTTATAGACACATCTAGTCTATCATCCTTTGTTTGACGCATTTATTTTAGTACAGCTCATGTCATATAACACGAACACACACACTACAAGTCACTGCATAAATGTTGGAATAAGAATAGCTTATGACTACTATTTTTTTTATGCCACCGCACATTCACTACTTCTTCACAAAGCTCCTATTTTCCATGTCTGCAAGAAAAGCTCTCCACGCTCCTACAGATACTTGCATTACTCATTTTACTGTTTGAAAAT